AGGTTGAGAATACAAACAGAACAGGTAACAACAGGAGACATGAATAAAATCCATAGTGGCCAAGTATCTCTAGACTCACTGCATTTCTGCTAATGTTAAATTAATACTCAGAATACTTCCATTCTTCTCTCTTGGAGGTTCAAAGTAAGCATTTCAAATATGGGGCTTTTTTAAGGGTAAAAATTGGGTTATGTGCTATCTACAGCCCTTTTTCTCATTTTATGCTTTGAATATTCTGATTTGACACCTAGATGCTTCCGCATTATATGTTAAGTCATTTTCCCCTTGTCGAATTAGTTTGCCAAATTGCTTTCTGATCATGACTTTTCAGGAGAGCAGACTCCGTCCCCTGCACGGCTGCAGATATTCCTTAACAGCATTTTGCAGTCATCAACGTAGAGACTCATGGAAAGTGTGAATAAATATACGCTTGTAACTTCTTGATTTGAATGACCCATGTAGTTATATAAACCAAATTTAAGGACCAGGATGGCCTGTTAAATTAAGAATGTTTGTGGCAGATAAGAGGGAAACACTGGGAACCTGGTTTTTTTTTTTTTTTTTGCTTTTGGTTAACATATAATTAACTCAGTAGCAAATTTCTATGTGACTACAGTCTTTAAATGTAAATAATTCCACTAATTCTAGGTTGAGCCAATGCAAAAGTTTCAAGACTTAAAGTAATTAAATGTTATCTTTTTCAGTAAAAGAATATATTTTTGCCCAACTAACATAGGGCAATATCGATGTATTTTTGTGCCCTAAAGTATTCCACAAAGGCATTCAAAAGTTACGGGGAGAAAATAAAGAATTGTAAGTTTGTTTGTTCTTAAAAGTCTCAAAAGGTCACTATCATCCTGATATGTCTCATTAGAAGTTAAAAATTACTAAATAAACCTGCGCATACAAGCATACACATATGAGTGGGTCTGTGTTCTTTAGTTAGCACTTTTGGATATATAAAACTTCAACTTAATACTTTTCCTCTAATTTCTCTGTCAGAATGCAGCATGATCTAGGATTGAAAAATATTAAATACAGTGGCAAAGCATTAGTTATGAAAGATGCTATATTTGCATAAGGGATTGTTATTTCATCCAATGGTAGACTATCTTAATTTCAAAACTATTTCACCATCAGTATCTCATGCTACTGAAGAAAACAAAAGCTAACCTAGAGGCTAGATGCAAACAGAAACACACAATGAAATGTACAGTGAACATTCTTCCTCCATTTGTTTCCTTAGCAAATAGAATTTGATTGCTGAGTTCTTCATGGAATGATGAGTCTTTTGTATTTTATTTCTATCTACAGACACAGAGATCTGTCCCTCTGCCATGGAGATGTTGTCTTATATGGGAGTCGTATTTGAGCAAACATAATTAAACCATCACAAACAGAGCCTTCCATTCGTCAGAACAGAGTTATCGCTGTTGTGCTGTAGACGCATGTAAAAGTATTTCACATTCTGCTGGGGGGAAGAAAAGACCATTAAATATTGCCTGGGTTTTTCTTGATCAGATTGTTTATTTCTCAACATTTTAAAGAGATACTTAATTTTTCTTGACAGCTATTTTTGTCAACACGTTAGAGAAACAAATATTAAGGGCAAAATTTGCATGGGATGCCAAGTGCTGGTATTTCCTGGAGTAATGCATACTGTATGCATAAAAATAAATCCCCTACTGTTCTCCAGAAAACGTCCTTGGCATTTGATGTGCTTTCTAAAGCTATATTCTCATAATGTTCTGCATCTAAGGTTTCAGGGTGGCAGTGGGGCGGGGGACGGGAATCATAATTTGATTGGTGTGGTTCAATACACATTTGAGCTTCATGCAAAAACAAAAAGTAGACACTAGAGGGTGCTGTTCGATCTCCTTTTTCACTGGACTGTGCAGCTGATGTCAGTGTATGGGGCACTGCAAAATGCCAGCATGGTCTTCTAAACAGGCCCAAACTGCAATGAAATACAAGCTGTAGAGATCCCCTGAGTTTTAGGAGAAAGGCTGGGAAGTTCAAAACACGGTGGATGGTAACTTAATTCAGAATTAGTAAAGAAGTAATTCTTTATTACCCTAGCCCTGCATGATTGTCATCTTTTGATAATTACTTAATTCCTTTGGTTGAAAGAAATTTTATTAGATTTCAAGCTCCCACTAAATGTCAAATGGTTCTAAAAATAGCTAGAATATTAGACAATGTTAAACAATTAGCACTCTCAAGTTTTGTCATTAGAATTTTGAGTAGAATACATACCTATTACTGGTTAAGAAACTACAGAATTCCCAGTGGTCACAAATGCCAGACCCAAAGATGTTGTTTCTTTTGATATCAAACAAATACCAAGTCAATAAGATTCCCAATTAACTTCCTTTTCAACCTTTGCTAAGCCTGCACTTTCCCACCCCTTTACCCCGCAAGCAAATCTTTCAGAGCAGCAGGAAAAGGCAATGCTCTGAAGTTATCTTAACATATACTATCATATGGCTTCTCTTTGTAGAAAGACAAGGGATTAGGTTCGAGGGGGTAGGAGAGTGGGTAGGGTTCCCAGGTCAAGTGTCTAGTGTCACTTTGTGACATAAGAACATTTGAAAAGAAGCTTCGTGTTCTTATGTTACATACAGGAAAATTAAGGTATTGAGGCATGTAATAATTTGCGTTTCAAGCAGAGAATTAGTAGAAGAGTCAGGATCATCTCTCAGTTCTTCTGCCTTCCAGGAAGTCAACTAAAGGGCCCATTTGTTTTCAGTTTTGTAGAAGTATTTCTCTTTAATCCAGATAGAAGTAATTGGCTCGAAGGCAATGTGAGCACTATCACCACTGATTTCCAGCTCTTCTGCCTTCCAGGCACACAGGAAGTTGGTGCTTCCTCATCTCTCAAAGTCAGTTACAACCATCTGGCTTGCACTGACCAGTGAAGTGGGAACAGAAGCGATATGTGTCACTTCAGGCAGAAGCACGGAAGAGCTAGGGTGGGATTCTCCATGCTGTCTTCCCTTGCCAGGGTGAATCTTGAAGCCACACGTTGAGCTGACAACAATGAAGGATAATAAAGTCTCCAGCAACTTCCATTCCAGGATGACAACGAAAGCAGGGGTGACTTGCGTGAGCAAGAAAGAAACCTTGGTAAGTCACTGAAATTGTGGGGTATTCTATTTTTTTTTTTTTTTTTTTTTTTTTTTTGAGACAAAATCTCATTCTGTTGTCCAGGCAGGATTGCAGTGCCATGATAATAGCTCACTGCAGCCTCTACCTCCCAGGCTCAAGCGATCCTCCCAACTGAGCCTCCCAAGTAGCTGAGACTACAGGCATGTGCCACCACCCCTGGCTAATTTTTGTATTTTTTTGTAGAGATGGGTTCTCACTATGTTGCTCAGGCTGGTCTCAATCTCCTGGGCTCAAGATCTGTCTGCCTGGGTCTCCCAAAGTGCCGGAATTATAGGTATAAGCCACCACACCCGGCCTGGGGTTTTCTGTTGCATCATTACAACCAGGTTTATCCTGATGGTAGACATGTGAAGGATGCCAACCAAGCGAGGAAACCAAAAGCCAAGAATGAAAGTGTGGTGAAAAGGATTTCGATTAAAAAGCTTTAAAAAAAAAAAAAAAAAGAACTAGAATTTTTAATCGAGGAATCTCTAATGACTTTAATATGGGAATCAATAAAGAAGTGCTGTCAAGTAAGTAATATACCATTTCTTCCTTGTATGTTTTCAGTTAAAATTCATCTAAAAAGGTAGGCATGGTGGCTCACGCCCATAATCCAGCACTTTGGGAGGCCAAGGTGGGTGGATTGCTTGAGCCTGGGACTTTGAGACCAGCCTGGGCAACACGGTAAAACCTCATCTCTACTAAAAATATAAAAAATTAGCCGGGCATGGTGGTGTGTGCCTGTAATCCCAGCTACTCAGAAGGTTGAAGTGGTAGGATCACTTGAGCCCAGGAAGTCGAGGCTGCAATGAGCCAAGATCATGCTAATGGACTCCAGCCTTGGCAACAGGAGTGAGACTCTGTCTCGGGGGAAAAAAAAAAAAAATCATCTAAGGATCTCAGGTAAAACCATAAACGAGACATTATTGTATTCAACTCATAATCTGTTTGATTTCAAAAGCCTAACCCTTTAATGGTGTGAATGGAAATGGTGCATAAGCGCATCTCAATCCTCTGATCCTGAAGTGTGGGATAGTCTGGAATCCAGGTTTTCATGCAAACAAAGAACACATGCCTAACATTCATTTCTGTCTTGGTGAGGAAGAAGTACTGTGTCTCAGCTAGAATAGACAATGGTTTGATTCCTTAATCCATCTCAAGGCTCAGTATTTTCCCAAAAGATCTTAAGATGTCCAAGCAGAAGCAGACGCATATTCTTCTCCATCAATACCAGTTGTCCGCTTAGCTGCATAGCATGTGTGACTGCTGAGGTAAGCTGGAATGTGTTGATTCTCCCAGGGGGCTGGGAGAACAAAACAGCTCAGTGCACAGTCAGTCTGCACCCCACTTCTTCAGCCTAGTGACAGTATGATGCCAGTGCTTTGACATATGAGACAATGACCATTTCACCCACACTCACGTTCAAGAGCACTAAGCATTTTTGCTCAGCTTTTCAGAGTTCCCAGAAAAATACAAAAATGTGATCCGTTTAAATCCAAGGCAACTTCAAAATAAACCTGAAGTGGGTTTTAGTTTGTTTTTGCCCTTAAAAAGCAAAGCATTCCAGGGATATATTTAGTAGGCCCTCCATTTTGTAGTTAATTATAGCAGATATGTGTTTGTGTACCACTTACAAAAGAGGATGCTGCCTGCTTCTCTTCTACACCGTACCTTAATGCTCTGCTAATGCTCCGTAAGTACACACGAACAGCAATATAACGGTGCATTAACGTTTTGGCCAACAGTGCCTTCCTGGTCCAATTGCTGCTATTTCTTAAAAAAAAAAAATTCATGGCATGCTCTTTAGTGTACAAAGCTTAACATCAATAAGAATGATTCTAGCCACCAAGTAATGAGAATATTTGAACACAAAGTTTATTTAAGGATAAAACACATTAGAAAGTATTTGGTTGACTTGTAAAAAGAGAAGGGATTGGGTTCGAGGGGGTAGGAGAGTGGGTGGGGTTCCCCAGGTCAGCAGTATCCCCAGTGGCCAAAGCTGCCATGGCAAGGTTGAAGGACGCAGTGGGTGGAGAGCGCCTCATAGACAGAACACGTGCATATCATAGATCAGACACTTCCAAACGCCAGCAAGATTCCTTAGAGGGAGTCAAACCTTCCAGTCATCACTTCAAAATCATTCCAACAGGCCCTCTCTCTGTAAAAAAACGTGATCCAGAAATAGCACTGGCTTGACAGATTTCTCTGGTCAGATTTCCAGTCAGATTTCTCTAACTAGAATTTTTTTCCTTTACTGGTTTTTCATGTGAACCAAAGTTTCTAGTGACAACTGTCTGGAAATTTTTCACAAGAGATATACTTTCCATAACTGACTTGTAGAAGCCCCGTTTCATATTCTGAAAGAGGAGCTTGCATGTTCGCTGGTTTCTGGACCTCAGACCGTTGGAGGCAGGTGGCATCATTTTGAAATGCTGGACACTTTCAAATAGGTTTCGACTTAAGGGCACACACTTTGTATCCTACAGGGAGTTGAAGTAAGTAAATTACAGTACTTTATATAGCAATTTGAGTTAATTATGAGATCGTGCCTGATTTATAGACAAAATGCCATAATGAAATCTGGATCATGACGAGAAGAAGCGTCCAGACTTGGAGTTCAACTGAAGAATTAGAGGCTGTAAACAGAGAGGAACACAGTAAGCCCTATGGGGAAAAAAAATACCTGTTTGATAGGGATGAGACATCTTTGCAGCACTCAGCTAAAAAAGGAAACTTCATCGCCAAGAACCCATTTTACCCAAATGACCCTAAGGCAGCAAGGTAACAGAATTAACCCAATCTTTAAGAGAGTCCTACTTTGGGAGGCCAAGGTGGGCGGATCACGAGGTCAGGAGTTTGAGACCAGCCTGGCCAATATGGTGAAACCCGTCTCTACTAAAAATACAAAAATTAGCCGGGCGTGGGTGGCGTGTGCCTGTAGTCCCAGTTACTCGGGAGGTTGAGGCAGGAGAATCGCTTGAACCCAGGAGGCAGAGGTTGCAGTGAGCTGAGATCGTGCCACTGCACTCCAGCCTGGGCAACAGAGCAAGACTCCATCTCAAAAAAGAAGAGAGTCCTGCCAACCTCACAAGAGGTCAGGGAAACCATGTGCTAAGGCTTGTTTGCTGGAGGAAGCATCCCAATCCCAACCTCAGCCCAAGTAGACTTGACAGCCAGATGTAGGCCAATATATGGTCCTTAAATGGCTGGATAACTTGTTTTTTAAATTACCTTTATATTTTAGGTGAAAAAGCAAGGTTTTTGTTGTTGTTGTTTGTTTAATGGCCCTAGAATTCCTTGGGTATGTTCCCCATCTTTCCTCCTTAATTTCTGGAGTTTTTGAGGGACAGTTGCTGACCTACTGGGCTTCAAATCTGAATTTCTCCTTCTGGGGTAAAGAATCTCCCGTGTCCCATAGCTTCCTGCCCCAAGGTAGAAGAGTGTCTACCTCTGCAGCTCTTGCCATCCTCCTGCAGGGTTCCTGTTACACAGCTGCAGAGAGGCCCGTCCACCCTGCTCGTGCAAATCTGCTCACACCCTCCATTGTCCTCACACCAGTCCAGCCCTACAAAAGAGCAGTTAGGAAGATTAACTACACACAGTTCAACCCTTCCACTGGTATCAAAGGGCAAGGCTTTAAAAAGAGAGGAGGACAGGCTGGGTGTGGTGGCTCACGCCTGTAATCCCAGCCCTTTGGGAAGCCGAGGTGGGCGAATCACAAGGTCAGGAGATCGAGACCATCCTGGCTAACACGGTGAAACCCTGTCTCTACTGAAAATACAAAAAAATTAGCTGGGCGTGGTGGCGGGCGCCTGTAGTCCCAGCTACTCGGGAGGCTGAGGCAGGAGAATGGCATGAACCCAGAAGGAAGAGCTTGCAGTGAGCCGAGATCGCACCACTGCACTCCAGCCTGGGAGACAGAGCGAGACTCAATTCCCCCAAACCACGCCTCCCCCAAAAAAAAAGAGAAGGAAAAAGAAAAGCTCAATGCCATTGTTGAATGTTTATAAGTCAATGAAAAGATGTCTTTAAGGAAGTGGGTGCTGTTCTCAAACCGGTGTCCCCAACACCAGCCTCCTCATCCACTGGACCCACATCAGAGGCGAAACACATCTGAGCCTTCAAATCCCATTGTTTTAATAATCTCGGGTGTGTTTTAGAGAACATACATACTTTTTCTCCTAATAGGTCCCACTGAAATGATCTGTTCTTTGGGTTCTTTTGTGTAATCTGTGGCAATCCTGGAGTTTTGTGGGCAAGTCTGCAAGACAGAACACCACGGGAAAAATTTCACACAATTAAGCTGGTAACTTATTCTTCACCATGTTTTCACCTCTAAAAGAGGCAGTGACTCTGGCCTCAAGCATTATTGCTGCTCAGACTAATTAGAACCAATGCATTCTTGATCATCGAATCCACTGGGACTCTAGGCTGTGTGTTGAACAGAATTAAACACACTCTCCACACTGGAATTAGTACTTTTTCCTTTTTAAAAATCTCTCCTTCATTTCTGATGGATCCACACTGGAATGAGATTCAAAGAGGCTCCCTGCCCAGGAATAGGATTGCTGTATCTCATCAGGCACTAATGTATGCAGTATCATCTGTAAGTTACCCTGACCATAATTCACATCTTGATTCTGCAAACATGGTGTTAGCATAAAGCTGCAATGTTAAAGGCTAGCGGCCAGGTATCAGGCAATCGAATCTTAAGGACCCAGCCCGTAAGTGGTGGGGGTGGAAGCCTGGCACAGAAGAGATGATTAGTTTGCTACTTCATCCCTCATCCCCTCCAGAGTCCTGATGTAGATCAGGTGAGCTGCAGGACACCTGGATAAACTGTATCCTGAGCTCAAGAGTTTGGTTCTGTAGTGGAACTTGGCCCAATGGTCATTAGAGTCAGGCCGCCTGGCTCCTTGAGACTCTAGTGCGGTGGTTCTCAGCCAGGCCAACTGGCAACATCCGGAGACATTCTGGGTGTTGAAACTGGGGGAAGGTGTGATTGGTATCCATGGGTAGAGGTGAGGAATGTTGCTAACATCCTACAGTGCACACAACAGTCCTCCAGAACAAAGAATTATTCCGTCCAAAATGTCAACAGTGCCGAGCTTTGAGAAACCCTAGTCTAGCATTAAGCCCATGACTGGTTGACAATTCAGAGATAGAAGAGTAAATAGATATATTTCCCCGTGTTTTCTCTCACTATCCCATCAAAGATGATTGTCCACCCCAAGCATCTATGGATGCTTCCAGTCCGGCCACCTGGCATTCACGATCTTCATGTTGGGAAACCGAGACAGTGAGAAATAAGGCTAAGCACTCTGTTTTCACACTCTCACTTACGATTTTACAGGAGTACTTTTCTGAGTCGCATAGTGACACTGCGCAGTGAAGGTGAACTTCGTCGTAATCCCCTATGAATTTAAAGACGGTGACGTGAAAGCGACAGGTCAGGGAGACTGCGTTCTCCTCGATGCCGATGGTGTTATCTTTGATGTTCTGACACCTATTCAGAAAAAATAATGGAATCTTTGCTTCACATGTTTTCCTCTTACACTTTAATCCTCATCTTCGTTTCAAAATTTCACTTTTCACATAAAACTGTCGTAAGTGGCAGAAATACCTTTACATTTGAAAGTGACCTCTGGACTGCCTGGGTTTGTCATTTATTATCACTCCCTCATATTTTCATAGTTTGTTTTGAAACATCAAACACCACCTCGAATTAGTATCCTAACTGCAACTAAAAACAAAACGACTGCAGGGACCACACTCAATTTCCCCACGCTTCAGTTTCTCATTCCGCCCCCTCATAATGCTGTGTTTTACCGATAGCAATTTAATAAACACAAGATTCATTCTTACTTCTTCTGTACTTTCTTCAGTTAATTATCAATGTTGGCAGGTGCCCCTGACTCAAACCCTGTTGGGAATACTTCCCACGCGTCAAAATCGGTAGGAGCTGGAGGGGAAAGAAGACTGGTCAGGGTGAGCTGCAGAGTCGCTTGGATGTAGCTGACTGCCACTTTTCTCAGCCCCCTTCCTTCTTGTGGTATTGAGCCAAGAGACAACCCCAGCCAAGACATCTCTCAGGCACAGAGATCTTGCTTCAACTACGTATAGTTCCCCAAATGCATCAGAGTCTCCTATAGTCCTGTGTCTTTTCACGCAATGTTTCCCCCGCCTGGAAGATCTTCCTGCTCTTTGTCCAATGCATCACTCCTGCCCTTTCTCCAACCCCAGTTCTATGGCACCCTCTCCTTCATAAATGTCCCCTAGTCATGCCCAGACAAGGCACAAACAAATGGCCTTTCCTGGATTTGCCAACAGCCCTCTGTTGAAATCCATGAGTGCAGAAACCAAGTCATATTCCTTACTGTGTCTCCACTGCACCACATGGCATGTGGCATGTATTTGAAAATTTTTGTCAGATGAATGAATGAGTGAGTGAATGGTGTTGCCATGGCCAAGACTGGCCCATAGGAACCAAAAAGCTCTTTAAAATGATAAAGATAAAAAGGGTGACTCTTCCTTATGTTTCTTCTCCCTAGTCCACAGGATTAAGTAGCTTAGCAATGAGGAAAATTAAAACTTGAAGTTATCCTTCAGCATTCCCACACATTTAGCCTTCCAAGCAAAATGCAAGTTGTTTTTCAAGGCAATAGTCCAATAGTCTCTCAAGTGCTTTGAAACAAAAACTTACATGCCATACTTTTTCTTGACACTGTTATTTATTTGGATAACCTGAACAGGCTCAAGGATTCTAAAACGGTAATAGCTCTTCAGTCTTCATACAGACCTTCCCTCTTAACCAGACCACCAATTCTCTCCCAGGGAGATGACTTGAAGTTTAGGTATCAGCAAAACTGAAGGAAGGGGCATAGCGAGGCAGGAATGGCTGTCTGGGTGTCTTTCTTAGACTGAGCACAGACACCAAGCACTAGAATCTTCCATTAACAATGAAACATCTGCCCTGTCCTCTGTCTAGCACATGAAGAGAAAACAGAAGTGGCCTGCGTGTCCCCAGACTTACAAGCCACTTGCAGAAGTTGCTGCTGTCTCTGCCATCCACACAGCTGGAGAGAAACAACTGACCCCCAAAATACTTTAGTGGACCCATTTTGCAGCTCATTCATTAAGCATTGAACATCTGGTTTCCCTAAGTTTGCTGGAAAAAAACAATAACCACATTCCTCCAAGAAAGGTTAGGAGGACTGATGGATTCACCTACATAAAGACGTCACTTCCCACCCAACCACGGTTTAACTTGAAGATGTTTATTCAGACAGACACTGGGGTAAGCTGAGATTTATGAATATGCTCCTTGCCTCACTCTCCCTCTCTGGGTCAAGTCTTTTAAATACCGTTTTAAAAATGTTAACGGCTACCATGTCCTTCGAAGGAGACATAAGCCCTATAATCTGGATTTGCATTTGTATAGTGTCTCATATATTAACCCTTTTATGTTGCAAAAGGAATACAATAAGAGGAGGAAGAAACATGAACAAAAGGATAATTGTGATGCTCACCCACTCATCTAGGCCTGAAGGACACCAAGAGTCACCACGTTCCTCTTTTTCCCTCTAAGGAGGATAAACACCAATTCAGAAATACAAATGCCTTAGTGAGGTCTTTGCTGAAAATTCCACAATACACCTCAGCAACCCATGCCACTCACCACACCTCGTCACTTAGGGAGTCGGTGTGTCTTGAAACCTAAAAGGATTTCTTCTCTGCTCCTTGATAGTTGTGTGACCTTGAGTGAGCTCTGTGCCTAGTCTCTCTGAGCCTGTTTCATCTGCAAACTAGTGAATGTCTATTGTTTGTCTTCCCAGAACCACACCCTTCTTCTCTTGGGAAACCATGCCTCTTCCCCTCAACCATAAAACTACTTACTGTATCCAAAGCACTCTCTGACCACTACAGGGATGGGGGCTGACCAGGCCAGGTAAATTCAATGGTGTATATCCCTACCTGCCAAACAAAGGATAAGCAAGTGGTCCAGGATAGGCCTGGGATTCCCTGCACTGGAGTTAGAAGTGCTCTCTTCTCATTGGTTACAATGCTATCAGAATAGGATTGCCAGTGTCTAACAAGGTCAATGAGAGAGAGAGAGAGAGAGAGAAGGGATAAAGCAAGAGGAGAGTCTTGGTAGCATCTGGCTCCCTGGATCCAATCATCTCTGAAGTCACATCCACTCCTGTGATTTGGTGTTACAACCATTAAATGCCTTGATTTTTGCATAAACTAGTTTGAATTGGTCTCTGCCACTCAGAATTCTGATTAATATATTTACTTGCTTTAGGAATTATTGTAGTCTGGCTGGCATGGTAGGTCACACCTGTAATCCTAGGACTTTGGAAGGCAAAGATGGGAGGATCACTTGAGCCCAAGAGTGCAAGACCAGCCTGAACAACATAGGGAAACCAAGTCTCTACAAAAAATAGAGAAAATTCACCGGGCATGGTGGTGTGCGCCTGTAGTCCCTGCTACTCAGGAGGCTGAGGTGGGAGGATCACTTGAGCCCAGGATGCTGAGACCGCATTGAGTCATGATCATATCACCACACTCTAGCCTGGGGCCTGGGAAACAGAGTGAGACCGTGTCTCCCAGAAAAATTATTATGGGCTTCAAGATGGCTGGCTAGAGGCACCCAGAACTTGCCTCCCTAACAAAGATGGGCCCAAACAATAAGCAGACTATCACAAGTTGAATAGAGCATCAAAGAAAGAACACTGGAATCCAGCAAAAGAGGGACAGAGGATCTCTGAGGCACGAAAATAGAGGGAAACAAAGCAGTTGGCCATGCTAGGGTCAGCTTCGAGCCAGGAGAAACTTCCCAATGTGGGAAAAGGTAATTGAGAGATCCTCAGTGGTCCATATTCCACTGCAGACTTTGGTAATGCTAGCCATGGGGGAGCCATTTGGACCCTGAGAGTCATATAGAAAGCTACCTGGACTCCACATAACGGTATTGTTCCAGAGAAGGTGTTCACACCGAATCGCACAGCCTCCAGCCCCCCAGACCCAAGCAGCTGCAGCACAGTGCCATGTTGAGAGCCCAGCTCCCATCAGACTATATCTTGCCCTGGCGTCCAACAGCCCCTACTTCTCCACATCCCTGGAGCCCTGCTAACACCCACCCCTCATGTCTTCTCAAAAGGCTGCAGGTTCACAACACTCACTGGACTTAGTGGTGCAGCTGTGTCCACAGCACTCTAATCCACACAGTGTCCTACACCCTGGGGAACAGGTGATGCAGTGCACCAGGGAGGCTGTCCCCAGGGCCAAGGGGCTGACGCACAAGCTCCCCAGAACCCAGGAGCCACCTGCCTGCAGCTGCTGCCACTGTCAGCAACTCTGCCACTTCCCCAGCAGCAGGGCCACCAGACACCCATATACACCTTCAGAGGGCCTGAAGATCAGCCCTCCAGGTGGCGTCGTGAGGCCTGAGGACAGGCCTGCCCCACCCACCACCACTGGTGCCCATGTACGCTGTCGCGGGATCTGGGGTTTGACTCATCCACCAGTCACCACTGGCGCCCATACACGTCTTCCAGGGGTCTAAGGACAGGCCTGCCCAATCTGTTGCCACCACCACTGGCAACCACATGTGTCGTTGGGGGGATTTAGGGATCAACCTGCCCCATCCACTAATATTGATGGCTGCATGCACCATTGGGGGGCCTGACAACAGACCTGCCCCACCCACTGCCAGTGCTCACATGCACCATCAGGGGGCCTGCGGACCAGCCCACCCCTGTGCTCACACATGTCATCAAGGGATCTAAAGATAGGCCTGCCCTGCTTGCCACTCCCAGCACCCATGCACATCATCTGGGGGCTTACAGATTGCCCTGCCCTGTCCACCACTGCCAGCGACTACATTAAAATTTGCCTTTTGGGAACCTGAGGACAGGCCCACCCAGCCTGCCACCACTGCCAGAACTCACCCGTGTGCCACCTGAAGACCTGAGGACTGACCCACCACCACCACCACTGGCACTCCCATGTGGGGCTTTGGGGCCTAAGAGTTGGGCCACTGCTGCTACTGCCATCACTGATGCCACATACGCCACTTAGGGCCCGAGGACCCACCCACCCACCTGGCCCACTGCTACCACTGACCAAGGATTGGCCCACCTAGACCTACTACCATGAGTGCTTGTTAATGCCACCCAGGGGCCCAAAAGCTGGCATGCTGGCCTGCTATCACCACCACTGGTACCCAAAGACTGGCTCATCTGGCATCCCTGTCCCCAGCAAAGCCTCACCATAGCCTCCACTAATAGCCTAAGTCACTGACTAACTCACAGACATGACTGATGCTGATTACAGCTGAAGAAATCATATGGAGACTACACTGCTGTGTCCACCCAGAATCAAAGCCAAAGTCAAACCCAACCAACACTATAGATACATCTATAGGAAAAACTCCGTCCCTATAAAAGCTAGTCCATAAAATTGGAGAAGCAACTATGATACCAGATGCACAGAAACAAACAT